CCGGAGGAGCTCACTGATGGGAATGTGTCCGGATCTTTCAAGGGTTTGTGAGCTCCTTATACAATCCAGCTTGGTTAAACCCAGGATGGATCCGTAGGCAGGCCAGCCTGAATGTTTCGAACCGGCGCAAATGTTCACGTTTCACAAATACTGTATAAAGAAGGAAAGGCACCACTGGCCGAGAAGACCCGAAGCTGCGTGTGGAGCAACAGACCAGGTAGCTTCCATACAGCATTACCCAACTGATGAAAATATAATGCCGCTCGACTGATTCGGAATGAGACCTCTGCTGTCAAACCACACCCACTCACCCAACCACAGGTTAGGCATGTGGGCTGCATGACCCAGCCAACGTAGCCTGGCCTACCGGAGGAGCTCACCGTGTCCAAATCACACAGTACACGTACTTACTACACATCAAGAAAAGTATCACCCAAATACGGTCTTCATTTGTTCTACCCTATATACTCACAATTACACACGCATACTCATACATACATACCGACACACACAGTTACACGTGTAGTGGGTACTGATGGAGACTCAGCCTACACTGGAGGCAACACGTTTATTTGAAACAATAACGACAACACAAGGTCCCTAACAGAAGGGGGTAACGGCCCCCTTCACCTGATACCCTGGGAGGTACAGCCTTCGGGCTAGCATGCCCTAATCACTGGGACCACTCTCTATAACACACTAAGGGAGGCTAGCCTGACCCAACCCAGCCAAGGTCCTCGGGTGCCGATCACTGGCCCACACGGCCCCGGCCCTGATAAGGACTTCGGGTCCGGGGGTTCCAAGGGTCCTATTCTCGGCTGGCTCTTCGGGTCTTCGGCTTGACGACTGGCAAAACCTAATAATAGGGTTTTTCCCCTTTTTTCTGGCAACAAAACTGAAACCTTTTTACAAGGATTCATGTCTGCATTAACCACAATACCTGCAGTCAAAACGCAAACAAAAAACTTACTATAATCTTAGCTCTTTCGGTAAAGTCACGTTGAAGGGAAACAATAAAATAATAAAATATATATAAAACAATAAAAATTCTCACGTTTCGACCATAACACAAACGGTCGTCTTCAGGTGTGTCGGTTTGCATAAATTTATTTATTTTTAAACAGTGTAGTTATTTATTTTAAAAAACGTTAGCGCCACGCGCAGCGATTTGGCAGTTTATTTAGGACTAGTCCATCTATGTTCTGAAAAGAGGAGGGGGGAGACGAAAAATGTATGTATGCTGTCTGAAAGCCACTGTAAGCGTGAACAATCAATTAAGACCTGAAATGGTTTATGAAATCTTTCCAATGATTGCTAAGCCAGAATCCATCTTCTCGGTTGAAATTGTCTCTGTGCTTGTATATGTGGATAGCCTCATGAACTAATCTCTCATGGTAGCCAGATGGCTTACAAAGAACCTCTGTCTTGGAAAAGTCAATGTCATGTGAGCCTACTGAATTATAACAATGATCTGCCACGGCCAAGGTGTTGGTCCTACCGTGTTTAAGGTCTGCTGTGTTCACGAATGCGATCCGAGACATGGCGTTTGGTTTCTCCAATGTAACTACTACCACAGAGGCAACTTAGTTTGTAGACACCAGGGTACTGTATGTCCGGAATCACATCTTTTACAGACGGAACCAGATCACGGATTTTATGTAATGTGTTGAAACGGACCTGGATCTTGTGTTTATTCAAGATTTTGGAGATCTTTGTTCTGATCCCCACAATGTAGGGTAAAGTGAATGTTTTGAAAGGCACCTTAAGAGGGTCCTTCTTCATGGTTTGAGTGATAGCTTTGCGGATTGTATAGTCGGAGTAACCATTAGCCTTAAGAGCTTGGTGTACGTGCTTGAGTTCACTGCCTACGTGTTCCTGGTCGGATATGCATTGGGCTCTATGATACAGAGTCTTGCTGAGAGAATTCTTCTGTGATGGATGGTGGTGGGAATCCGGTTTCAGATAAGCATCTGTATGGGTAGCTTTCCTGTAGACAGAGTGGCTCATTTAACCATCAGGTCTCTTTTTAATTTTGACATCCAAAAAAGGTAGCTTGCCATCTTTTTCGACTTCCATGGTAAATCTGATGGCTGGGTGTATGGAATTGATGTGGTCGAAGAATTAGTCTAGAGCAGGCCGGCCATGTGGCCAGATGACAAGTGTCATCCACGTACCTCTTCCATAAGGTTGGGCGAAGAGTGGCAGTCTGGATGGTGTCAGTCTAAAATTTCTCCATGAAAATGTTAGCTATAACCGGAGATAGGGCACCCCAATGGGCTCCCCCCTCAATTTGTAGAAAGTTACATTCCAAGTGAAGTATGTATTGGTTAAACAGTGTCTCACCAGGGGGGGTACCTCAGTGTTTAGTCCTTGATGAACCAAGTCTTCAATGATTGCGATGGTGTCAGGTACAGGAACCTTGGTGAATAAGGAAACTACATCAAAACTAAATTTTGATTTAAAGCTTTCGTGACTGCAGTAATTCATATTCTTAGTTCTTTCGGTAAAGTCACGTTGAAGGGAAACAATAAAATAATAAAATATATATAAAATAAAAATTCTCACGACGTTTCGACCATAACACAAACGGTCGTCTTCAGGTGTGTCGGTTTGCATAAATTTATTTATTTTTCAACAGTGTATTTATTTATTTTTAAAAAAACGTTAGCACCACGCGCAGCGATTTGGCAGTTTATTTAGGACTAGTCCATCTATGTTCTGAAAAGAGGAGGGGGGAGACGAATTTTTTTTTAATGTATGCTGTCTGAAAGCCACTGTAAGCGTGAACAATCAATTAAGACCTGAAATGGTTTATCAAATCTTTCCAATGATTGCTAAGGCAGAATCCACCTTCTCGGTTGAAATTGTCTCTGTGCTTGTATGTGGATAGCCTCATGAACGAATCTCTCATGGTAGCCAGATGGCTTACAAAGAACCTCTGTATTGGAGAAGTCAATGTCATGTGAGCCTACTGACTTATAACAATGATCTGCCATGGCCGAGGTGTTGGTCCTACCTTATTTAAGGTCTGCATTGTTATAATTCAGTAGGCTCACATGACATTGACTTTTCCAAGACAGAGGTCCTTTGTAAGCCATCTGGCTACCATGAGAGATTCGTTCATGAGGCTATCCACATATACAAGCACAGAGACAATTTCAACCGAGAAGATGGATTCTGGCTTAGCAATCATTGGAAAGATTTGATAAACCATTTCAGGTCTTAATTGATTGTTCACGCTTACAGTGGCTTTCAGACAGCATACATACATTTTTCGTCTCCCCCCTCCTCTTTTCAGAACATAGATGGACTAGTCCTAAATAAACTGCCAAATCGCTGCGCGTGGCGCTAACGTTTTTTAAATAAATAAATACACAGTTTAAAAATAAATAAATTAATGCAAACCGACACACCTGCTGACGACCGTTTATGTTATGGTCGAATCGTCGTGAATTTTTTTTATTGTTTTATATATTTTTTATTATTTAATTGTTTCCCTTCAACGTGACTTACCGAAAGAGCTAAGAATATGAATTACTGCAGTCACGAAAGCTTTGAATAAAAAAAAAACTTACTATGATAATCTATGCATTGTCCTTGAAATTGATTGGTCCACACCAAAGGACGGCTTTCTTTTGAGCCTCGACCCAATTGATGACGCCAAAAGGCATACAGCTCAAAGACAATGCACTATAAAAGTAATGAGGGCTCGGGGTTAAGCATCTACATCATTAGACCTCCTTTGCCAGAAAAAAGGGGAAAAACCCTATTATTACATTTTGATACTGGCAAAGGTGGTCTAATGATGTAGACTTGCGAACCCGTTCAGAGGTCCGCTTTATATACGGTTCCCAGGGTCACTCCGCCCCTGGCCACGCCCACTCTAGAACCTTTTGGAGGGACTTGGACTATTGCGTAATCCCCCAGCCCGCACTGGGGGCCTGGGGTGTGGTTCCTCCGGTTCCCAACCACCCTCTGGGTTCCCTGGCCTAACTACGTTACTCGTTACTTAGTACAGGCCGGACTCGCTGTTTCCCCCTGTTGACTCATGGCTTGCGCTACACCCAGTCAGTCGTGGTGACGGCGTATCACGCTAACAATACCAACTACACATGTATACTCATACATACACACACTTACACATGTATTTGCATACATACAACAGACACGCACACAAATGTACATACAAAGACAAAGATCATACATGCATACACACACACGTAACAGACAAAGAGCCCCCGTATTGCGTTGACAGAATGTTGGGACAAGTGTTATTAGCAAGTAGCACCTACAAAGGCCGGGACGGCACACGAGGTGGGTGGTTTGGCCAGCACCACACCCGGTCGCCTTTGTCTCCCCAGTACTGATGCTTCATTGAAAGTTTGAGTCGACTAAATATATGCTGTGCCTCTTATTGTGGTCGGGAGCAGGGATTCAAACTCGGTCCGCCGGGTCTATAGAGCAGCGTGCTCACCGCTACAATGACAAACACACAAAACAAAGGTTCCCAGTGTAGCTTTAACAAACTTGTGGCAAATGCTGTTCGCGAGCACCTATGAAGGCTGGCACAGCATACGAGGGGTGGTGGATAGTCAGCACCATGCCCAGCCACCTTTGTCTCCCTCGTGGCGATGTTTACTACACACCGCACCAGGTACTAATTTGAGGCCGAGTGTACCTAGGGGAGGCCCACAACTGGTTCAGATAATCGTCACCGGTGTTTGTTAGCCGTGAGCAGGAATCAAACTTGGGTAGCCACTTTTGTAGCGCAGCTCCTCACAAACACACACACACGCGCACACACACATTCACTCCCAGCGCGAGGCTGACTCATTACATCTCGCGAAGCATCGTTAAACTCAACAAAATAGTTCCGCAGTTCAGTTTGCAAGTGCGAGTTCGCGTTTTAAGCCGATGTTAAAATAGGGAAATCAGGGAAGCTGGTTCGTAAGTGCGGGCGTTCGTAAGTCGAGGACTACGTGTACATACACACCTCTCACCTGTGTATATTCACCGGCAGGACACACACACCAGACACCGTTACCACTGCTCAGACACAGGCAAACCCCGACCACCAACGTTGCATGCACATATCAGCCTCCTATTTATAATAAACCGCTCCCAATTTCGGGCCAATGGCCTCCTCCACTCGTCCTCCTGCTCAACGCGAGGAAGAGACACGAGGAAGAGAATAATTAGTAAACGCGAGGAAGAGACAGGACTAATTACGCGTGCTGGCAGCCTAATTGACCACGCACGAGGGAGTTAATTAATGCGGATGGGGGGGGGTACTAAGCGGTCCTAAATTGGCCAATTATGTCTCCTACACAACTTGTCAAGGCTAGCTTAGCCCGTGTTTTCACCAACAGATGGAAAAACACACGGGGAAAGAAAGTGCAGGCGCAGCCCTGCAATATATATAAACGCCTAACCTTATCTGTGACTAGCTTTACTACCCGGCTTCGCCCGGGGCTTGGATTCTTGTCTTGGATTAATGTAATATTCCCTAATATTTCGGTGGAAAACCCTGAAAAAAAAGTGATGCTTGCAAGGAAGAAAAAATGCGAAACAAATCAATTTAACTAAATCGGATGTTTTTCACTCAAGGAAATTTAACCTTAACCAGGCAACTTGGGAAGAGAATTACGTGGCGAGCTGAGATTTGTCGCGTTCCCTTAGAAACTCCAGACAGCATAAGCTGTGCAAATTTCATGACGTCAGAACTCAGCGTGCGAGAGCTTTTGCTGCTTCACACAAATGTATTTTCTGCTTTATATTTAAGAGCGAGCTGAAAATATTCGCGTTGACTTAGAAAATCGAGACAGCGATGCTGCGCATTTGTGCGGGATACACGGCCTACGCGGAGGGTGGGGGGGATGCGTGACGTCAGCAGGCACACTGCGTAACGCTGCCGCATGCAGGTGACATCACAGATGTGACGTCACCGTTCACTTGCCGTGCAAAATATATGCAAATTGCGCCCCCCCCCCCAAATACAAAGTCTATTTTTATACGTTTTGCATTGTGTACAGTCTGGAAGTTACCCACATGCCAAATTTCAAGTTTGTTGCATGTCGGGAAGTATGCTAAACATTTCGTTGGAATCGATCTGCAGAACGAGGAGATTCGGTGTTGATTCCCAGAATCGACTTGGCCCCCACCGATACGACTTTGCCATTTGTTTAGCAAAATTGATGACAGTAAGTGATGATGAATATATTGAATGGATGGGGAATGAGTGAGAACCATATGAGAATATGAAGAGGGAAAAGTAGTGGTGGCAGATATGAGGTGGAGATTAAGGGGTTGTTGGGTGAACTAGGGAAAATAAGTGAGTTTTGAGTGTGGAGCGGAAACTAGTGAGCGAAGGTAATTGTTTAATGTGGAGAGGAAGTTTGTTCCAGTTGTAGAGTCGTGCTTCGTAATGTCCTGTGGGATTCTAGACTCAGACAGAGACCAGGGTTGAATATTCAGGGCTGCTTGCCGATTATTCACACCAACATCCACACTCTTTGTTCCGTCGCGGGTACTCACTATCCCTTAGCCCTCTCTTCCGACTCCCTCGACCTGGCTACCTCATACACTTCCACCCGGAGCCTCCTTTGTCTCTCCGGCCCAAGAGCCTTTCTACTTGCTACCTGGCTCCTCTCTCTCTCTCCCTGACTCTCCTTGTCTCTGACCCCTCCACTTCCGTCCAGGTTCCCCGTTTATCCCCTTAGCCCGGGCTCCTCCCTTTTACCTGGCTCTCCTCCTTCTACCTGGCTTCCCCACTAGCAAACGTCCCACTCTTTCTACTTACCGTCCTCTCTAGTCCTTCTGGCACTCCCCTTTTTGCTTGGCCCCCTTCCCGCAGTTGCCCCTCATTGGGTCCCCGCAGTACTCCTCTACATCCCCCCCCCCCCCGCCCCCCCCCCCGTGACGAAATTCCAGCCGTCCCGGCTGTTAACGTTATTTCGCGGAACACATGAACGACCCCGTACAACAAGTAGCCAACCTAACAACAAGAAGAATAACGATGCGGAACACTGAATGGTAACGTAAGTACGTGAAGGAGCCGGATGGCCCGTGCAGAGGGCCATGGCCTGTCGCAGAGCACACCGCTTGTGCCAACAGTGCCACGTCGAGCGGTCGGGTGCAGGAAGGTGCTCAACGGAGCACCCTGCTCCTGGACCTCGTTCTCGAGGCTGGTCTGTCTCCTTGAGTCGGAGCCTGGTCGAGCGGTGGCATTGCGGTCCTGCGAGACTGCTCTCCCTCTGGCAGAGGCGCAGGCGGTTCCACAGGAACTAGGTGCCGCAGTCCTGCAGGTGGAGGAGAAGAAGCACCCTGACGCACAGCGTCTCGACACCCCCGACCCAGCTCGTCGGACACATCAGACACTCCCCATTCCGGGATTGGGGATAAATCAACTGAACAAGGCACACCTCTTCAAACAAGAGGGGTGCACAATCCAATGGCGCCGACCGAATTGGATGCGCACGCACTGTGGTCGCCAGACCTCTACAACCTCCACGGGACCCTGCCACGGCTGATATAATTTATGGGACGTCCCCAGGGGCACCTGCGGGCAATGAAGCCAGGCTTTATCACCAACCCCCCACAGAGTTCCAACCCCCCGGTGTATCGTCAACCTCATTTGCCACTTGCCGGCTGGCCGAATTACTTGCCACGGCCTCGCGTGCCTCCCGCAACCTGTCAAGCGTAACCCGCATGGGGGAAGGCACCGCGGATCTCTAACCAGACGAGCCCAAGCCTAATTGGACATGCATTGGGGATTCTGGTTCCCTGCAGTACATAAAAAAATGGAGAGAATCCCGTGGAAGCATGAGGGGCCAACCTGTATGCTGCAAGGACCCCTGGGATGTGCAGGTCCCAATCGGAATGGGCCGCATCCACCTGGTGGCACAACATTGACGTGAGGGTGTGATGCAGTCGCTCTACCATCCCATCAGTTTGAGGGTGGTAGGGCGACATCCTAATTTTCCTCGTTCCCAGGAGGTGGCAGACCTCTTTGAGCAACCTAGAGGAGAAAATTCGGCCCTGGTCAGTCAAGAGTTGCTCGGAGGCCCCTTGTCCAACACATAGCCGTGCACAAAGGCATCAGCTATGGACACAGCCGACTGATCTGGAAGGCACCAGGCCATAGGCCAACGGGTGAGGTACTCGACCCCGACCAGGATATATTTATGGCCCCTTTTTGAAAGTGGGAAAGGGCCCAAGATGTCGAGAGCCACCAGCTCGTTGACCCGCCTGACCGGTATGGATTGCAGTGGGGGCATACCCTGCCGGCTCGGCGGTTTCCGGCGAGCACAATCCTGACAACCTTTGACAAACAGTGCCACGTCGTCTTCCATACCCGGCCAATAGTAGTCCCGTTTAATATTGAGCAAGGTCTTCCGAAACCCCAAGTGCATCACTTTCTCGTGAACCACCCGGGTAAGCTTCCCTCGGAGGACCGTGGGCACAACGACACAATACCCTTGGCGTCCCACCACATGAGCAGGCCACCCCGAAGGATGATCACCGGCGCCTTCGCTGGAGAGGCCCTTTGGTTAGCTGGTTTAACGCGGCGTCACAACTTAAGTAGAGAGGCGTCCTCTATCTGCATGCGGGACCATTCGTCGGGCGTAAGGCCCAGGCTGTAGTCCGCCAGAAATGGCGCCGCATCGGGGGGCGTAGCTTCGGCCGCTGCCACCAAAGGGGGCACACTTACAGTAGTGGGCCTGCAGTGACTGGCGCCCGAAGCACATGCACACCCGCCACCAAATGGCAACCGCGACAAGGTGTCTGCGTTGCTGTGCTGGGCGACCTTCCTATGGATTACCTCGAAAGAGTATTCCTGCAATACTTCGAGCCAGCGGGAAAGCTGACCCGAAGGTTGATCAATCCGCAAGGAGTACTGTAAGGCGGCATGGTCCGTGCAGACAACAAACCGTCTCCCATACAAGTAGGGCCTGTACAGCTGCATAAAATGGGCGATAGCCAGCAGCTCCCTACGCGTGACGCAGTAACGTTGTTCTGCGGGGGACAAAATGCGGCAGCCATACGCCACAACCCTTTCGAGGCCGTCGACCCTCTGGGACAAAACGGCCCCGATGCCCGTGTTGCTGGCATCCGTGTCCAGGACAAAGGGCAAGCTAAAATCGGGGTACCCCAATGGGGGCGCGTTGGCGAGAGAGTCCCTGATCGTGACAACCGCTGCTTCCTCTTCAGCGCCCCAAGAAAATGTATGTCCCTTGGCGGTCAGCGTGTGTAGCAGCTTGGCGATTGTCGTGAAGTTGCGGACAAATCAGCAGTAGTAGGAGAAAAACCCGACAAAACTGCGAACCTCGGCCATGGATTGAGGGGTCGGCCACGCACGCACGCAGTTTTGTCGGGATTGGTAGCCACCCCCGATGCGCTCACGACATGACCCAAATACCTAACTGAGGACTGCAGCAAATGGCACTTTTGGGGCTTAAATTTGAGGTTAGCGGCCTGCACCGTTAAGAAAACCGAGAGCAATCGTTGTAGGTGTTCCTCAAACGTGCGGTTGAAAAAGATGACATCGTCCAAGCATATGAGGCAGGAGTCCCATTGAAGACCCGCTAAGACCATCTCCATACGGCGCTGAAAAGTGACCGGGGCGGAATGGAGACCCATAGGGAGGCAGTTAAATTAGAAAAGGCCTTGGGGTGTGCAGAAAGCAGTTGAGGGCTTGGAGGCCTCATCCAAGGGCAGCTGCCAGAACCCCAACACCAAGTCCAGAGTTGAAAGAAACCGCGCACCGGATAGTGCGTCTAGCGAGTCGTCAATGTGGGGGAGAGGGTAGGCATCTGCGACGGAAATTTTGTTTAATTTACGAAAATCAACGCAAAACAGGAGACTGCCATCGCGTTTCTTAACCAAAAAGATGGGAGCTCCCCACGGACTGTTATGGGTGAGATTATATCAGCCCCAAGCATTTCATCAATGGCAAGGCAGACATGTTCTTTTTCGTTGGGGCTCAGTCTATGAGCATGCTGCCGAATGGGAGCCGAATTACCCGTGTCAATGTGGTGATGAATCAAGGAAGTATGGCCTATGTCAAATTTGCTTTTGCTAAAAATGTCTGCAAATTCGTCTAAAAGCACATGAAGGTGATCCCTCTCTTGCAGGGATAAATCCATGTTCTCCGCACACAGCCATGCGCTGGCCGAATTGCAATCCTCTAGTGCGCCAACAACAACTCCCACAACAGCTGCGGTGTCCTCCTCAGTATGAGCCGGGGACGCGTGCGCCAGGACAATACCAGCCTGGATGACCGCGTGCACCAAACCCGTGTACAAAACTTGCAGAAAGGGCTCCCGATCTGCAGCTACAACAGTCATAGCCCCAATGAGGGATGGGTTCCGCACTAGAGAATTTGAGGGTGTCAAGAGGATCCCCCCTCCGGAACTGAAAAATCGAGGGACTTCCACAGCCATAAGGGTACCAGCAGAATTCGCATGGAGCCTCGTGCTAACGCCTGGACGCTGGCGGCCATAGAAGACAACCGCGTGGGGGAGCCCAAAAAGTGTAAGCGGTGCCCCGATGGCATCTCTATGCATCCCTGGTCAATTAGGATTTTAAGGGGCATTCTGGCCAAGAAGTCAGTGCCCAGGAGACATGGCACGGCCAACGTTTTAGAGACTAGCACTGACCCCCATAGTTCCGTGTCCCCAACCTTAATAGAGGCCATCATCTGGCCCATGATACCGAGGCTGCCCCCATTTGCGACGACCAAGCACCCTTTACTGGGCGCAAGCGAGTACATTTAGGTGTAACGAGGTTGAAGATAACCTCTGATATTATGGTGGCCGACGCGCCCATGTCCACCAAAATGCGCACCTCGACCCCCTGAATGTGGCTGATTACCGTGGACGACCCTGCCGCAGCCGCCACAACACGGTGCGC